ATAATCAGATAATTATCCAAGGTTAGGTTATTAACTAGGATGTTTCCTTTTCTCCATAAAAAAATCCAAACAATTTCAAAGCATACAGTTCACAAAATAATTAAAATATTTCTGTAAAATATTAAGTTTCGGAGGGCAATTGAAATCTAAAAATCAAAGTCACACTTCTAAAAAAACTTTGTAAAGAAAGAAAATCCTTCTGGTACAGTGTCATCACTTTGCGAATGATGCAATTAGCATCTATTTTTGACGATACAATCAGGAATTGAGATCCTGATTGCATTAGTCACACTGATATTTATTACACGTCAAATATTTATTTTTTCTACGTGTTAAAGAAAAAATCCTGTTGATTTGTGTCACTTTAGCGAATGACGCAATTCAGACTGCTATTTGGCGCTCTGGGATATCATGTGAGCATTATGACGCCAATGTTATTTTTAAGGAGCCAGAGGCCGTACGCGAGGCCTCTGTGGTAGTGTAATCGGGGGCTCCCAATAGCGCCCCTCTACGTCACTAACACATTCTACCTCGTTATTTCGTTGATTGATTAGCATACACTCAAGGTTTTAATGCGGTAGTGTAGGTAAGCCAGTGTTCCGATATTTATGATCCAAGGGCAAGAATTGTTAACATTTAGATCAGGGGCGGAACTACAGTGCCGCTAGACCCCGCAATGCGGGGGGGGGGGGGGGGCATGCCAGAGCCGACCATATTAAATTTTTTATTGTTAAATTTTCTTTATTTTTTTTTGCATTCTATACTTGACGACAAAATCTTTTCTAAATAACAAACAGATCTACTACATTAACATTAGTGATGTTACACAGTACCTAACACATGATGTTGCGTAAAAAATATATATGCCTGAGCTGTAGTGTGAAAGATAGGCAAACGTTAAAAAAACTTCCAAGACTTATTTCCCTTTTTTAAATAGCTAAAGTGGTGTGCTCATAAGCTCCTTCTAATATATTTGTAATAAAGAATTAAAAAGCAATTACTTCTCTTAATTATCATTTTTTAAAAATACATACTAAAGAATGATATCGCATACAAACTAAATATATTAACAACAAATAATATAAATACAAAAAAACATCAAAATAAACATAACACGAGAAACAATTAAACTTACAAAGCTTTCACGTTTTATATTCTTTTGACCGGTTAAACACTAGAGGGTAGGCAAACATAATAAATAAACTAGTTCTAAATCTAAATAAACCGGGAGTGATCTCCCCTAAACTTTCTCGAATATTTTTATATAAAATAACTGGGGATGGGAACTCGGGCTATAGACATGATTTTTAATCCATTTTAAATACTTAAAGTATTACAAATAGAATAAAATCTCGTAGACAAAAGAATCGCACACCGAGTGAACGCTAAATAAAAAAGTGCATAATAGTGCGCAATATTATTAGTACTTTAAAAATTTACATTAGTTTTTTGAGAAATCGGAAGTAGCGTAAATTACTACTTCCGGTCAACGGAAATTACTCAAAATTTAACAGAAGGTAGAGAATTAAATCTTTTACTTACATGTGAAACGTCATTTATCTATCTGAAATAGTACTCAAGTTATATGCTTTTGAAAAATTCAAAGTAGGAAAAGTACAACTTCCGGTTATTGGAAATCGCTCAAAAGTTGATACGGATCTACGATTTTGATAAAATACTTATATATGAAATTTCATCAACCTAGCTGTAACGGTACTCAAGTTATCGTGTTTACACACGGACACACACACACAGAGACAGACACACAGACATACGGACAGAATTGCAAAGCCCAGTTTTTCAGACTGGATTACGCATAAAACCTCTTAATTTTGATAAATCTGTATTGATAATTTTTGCCCGATTAAAATAAGTCCTGTTCTTCTTTATAGTTAATTAAATAGTAGTCTATAATTTATTTTCTACTTTTTAGTGCATCATTTCATAAAAGCTTGTTATTAAAACGTTTTTTATGAATTTTTTTTTCAGTACTTTACATGTTTTATTTACAATAGAGTTACATGACTAAAAACCATTGCGCGCCTACTGAACATCACGTTCAGTAGGCGCGCAATGGTTTTTGAACGCAGCCATTACGTGATGGCGCAGCTATTGAAGGTGATGACGCGTGTGGTGTGGTTGGCTAGACATGCCTACTAATTCGGTCCAAATTTTTATTAATTCATAAAAAATTAATTAGGCATCCAATTAAGTCAAATTTAGTTTCAGATTGCATTGTCTTCATGTCTTGACGCACGTGCCAACTGTGAATCGTATCGGTCAAGTAGAACTGTCCGAATTTTCACTCCTACGTTTCTATCTAGACTGACGACAGACTGTCGACAGACAGAGGAAGTGAGTTAAATAAAAGCTTGTAATAAAAGCTTGTAAAAACAGACTAATGCATTCGCACACATGACATGTTGTAATTTATTAAATTGAAAAAAAATCATTTTTTTTTTCAAAACCCGATCAGGCCAGAAATGAGTAACCAATGTTTGCATTATATCTATAATATAACGCTGCTGGTAGTGTGTCAGTCCTTCCTTCCTTCCTTCTTTCCTTCCTTCCTTCCTTCCTTCCTTCCGTCATCGCTATAGATTTTGGAACCATAAAAGTAAACATTCGCACCATGCTGTGCTTTTCAGTGCACCGCAGTGTCTTATTATAAGTATTAGAGTAGGGTTTGTTTATATAGCGGCATAGAGCTATTTTATAATTGCCACGGTTTTTACTCTTTCGCATAACGTCAAGAAAATATTAAATACACGCAAACTGCTAAAACGTATTAAAAAGATTAATGTCAAATATCATTTTCGTTTAGGTTCCCAGAAAAAGTGGATACATTTTAATAAGATAATAACAGTACGGTAGAAAAATCAAATTAATTTAACTCTTTTCTAATTTTGACAAAGGAGGTAATTTAAAAATACATTAAACTCACGCTAATAAAAAATGTAAATGCAAATATACGTTCGTCATAGAAGGAATTAGTGTTGCAATAATATAATTAGCAAAATGTGAATGCAAATTATTCGGATGTGTAAGAGGAAATTATTGTTAGAAAATTATAATTAGCATGGATTGATAAAAGGCAATCTTTTATTTATTTTATTCACTGAATGTAGGCCCTACTTTTTATTGCTTATAATTTTTAATCAACTATTCAGCACTATTATAGACGCGTCATCACGTTCATTAGGTGCGCAATGGATTTAGTTATGAAACTCTATTGTAAATTTTTAAAATTTAAAGTGCTGGAAATAAATTGCGTGAATGGATAAAGTGAAATATTGTATATATTATAGATACTGCCTATTATTTATACTGTTTTCTAATTATTATTCTATCTTTCGGGTTTTATAGGAGAGGCGTAGCGAAGGGGGGGGGGGGGCATATGTCCCCGGGTGCCGACCTTAGGGGGCGCCAAAGTGGGTTGGAAAAAATTTGCGAGGGGGGTGGTGGTGGAAATCGAAAGTTTTACGGCGGGGGGGGGGGGGGAGGGGTGCAAATCGAAAGTTTGAGGGGGGTGCAAATCACCGGAAAGGGCGCGATTTGGCGCTACGGGCTAGACTGTGAGCAATATGCCTTTATGATTGCATTTAAATTGTGTTTATGTTATGAGTGTTGTGTTTGTTTGTTCGTTTTTTTTTTTTTTTTTTTTTTTTTTGTTTTTTTTTGCGTTCGTTTGTGTTGTGTTTAGTTTTGTTCTGTTGGTACATTTAAAAAAGATTTACCGTGGCGGAGCACGGGATGCAGCTAGTATATATATATATATATATATATATATATATATATATATATATATATATATATATATGGAGAGAGAGAGAGAGAGAGAGAGAGAGAGATATGGTGTTTGTTTATGTTTGAGAAAAACAGATGGTGACGCATGACCTAGTTGTTGAAGTTCTGACACTTCACTCGACCGGACTTATATTTTACACTTGTTGGTATACTGGGAGGGAGGGGGGGGGGGGGGGGGGGGGCTGGCGAAGAGTGGAAGGTGCGGCAGATGAAAGGACATCCCGGTCGTCCACTGAATAATTACCGGATCAGCGGTTAAGCGAGCTAAATTTTTCTCCTCATTAGAAAATTAACATCTTATTTAACCTACTCTGTCTTATTAAAACTGTGCCCAAAATCACTATCACCATCGTTCATGTGGACCCCTTGTTGAGCATATGAACGCAACCACACATATTCATCGTACTCGGTTCCTACAAGTTGGGTCTAAGACATTCACGCTGCTTCTGCGTCATTGACAGCTGGCGTTTTCGACGTATGCTTACCTACTTTCCTGTTGTATTCGACGCATACGATAGTTATACAAATTTATCAGTGAACTTCCTGCACTAAAAATATAAGTACAGTAACCACCAGTGACAGGATTACTACTAGACACTTACAACCCGGTACTTAACAAAAAAAAGATGTGTTGGTTCTTCTTACCGGATTTAGAAACTACTTTACATAAAAACTCATTTCACATTCTCTGATGTTCGTTTTTTAATTCAGCTGTCGAATTGACAAAGGATTTACTGTATACAAATATTTGGACAAAAAGCTTTACAAAATTAATTTTTATAAAGGTAAAAAAATTGATTTTATTATAAGAAAACATTTTTTTTTAAATTGTCTAAGGTACGTAAATATTTTAAGTCTCTTTAAAAAGTAATACTATGTGACAATATTTTTTCATATGATTTCTTAGATTTTCTTTATGGGCCAGTATTAAGGATAATATTTTTAAAATAAGGGATATTAAATGGTATAGACAATCACATAGTACAATAGTATTAGCGACACGCTTAGGCTTACATCAATTGTAATCATAGTCACATGTTATTCGCATTCGAGTAGTCACTTCACTCTTTATTTACGTAATTTCCATAAGTTAAAATAACTGTGAACGTATGAACATAAACCACGAATATTTTTCCAGTTCCTTTAATCATTGTATTAGTTCTAATCATTTCCTCTATCGTTTTAAGCATATACGTAACATGATGGGAACAATGACAACAACCCCCATGTTTAACGACACAATCTCTATGCTGAACACGACGACAAATTACACGGAGGAGTACAAGAGATGGTACCTGGAACAGCTGCGGCAACATTCCCTCCGCATCATGACCCCCACCATCGTGTTCCTCACAGCTGTAGCCGTGGTTGGAGCTGTGGGGAACTCCCTAGTTCTGCTGGTCTACACCAGGAGTTTCACGTCAAAACCCACGAGAATTTTTATATTGACGCTATCTATTTTTGACTTGATAACAAATCTCTTTGTTATACCACGTGAGTTAAGAATGTTTAAACTCACGCTGTCTTTACTTCACTTAAAAACAAATAAATTTGTTATATCAAATGCGTTAAGAAATGTAAACTATATGACGAGAATGTATTTTTTGGCCATGTGTTTTCCTGATTTAATATCAAATCTAGTTGATCTACTTTAATTAACAAACCTGTTAAGTCGATTAAGTTAGCAAGGATATTTTTTCAACAATGTATATATGTAAATTTGTATACAAGAGTAAAATATTAAATTTTTTTTCATATATACATGGTACGTTATCAAATGTAGATTATTGCACGCTATTTATAACTATTTTTGATTTTCACGTTAGTTAACAAACCTTTAGTTATTCAAGATACACTAACATGTTTATTTTCTCAAGAACATAAAAAACCCTGGTATTTGATGTGAGTTAAGAAACACTACTTTAACACCGTATAAATAGCAAAAATGTTTAATATCACAGATACATTTTCTGTAATAATATAATAATTGTGTGAGTTTCCACGTTTCTACTAATATATATATATAAGGTCAGTATACGATTATTGACATACTAATGGTCATACACCTTATTTTATTCCAGTGGACATACATAACTTGTTTAAGTGCTGGATTATTGACATACCTTCAATCTGCAGGACTAAAAGTTTTCTGTACACGTTTAACACTCTAGGATCATCTCTAGCACTGTTGGCTATTTGTGTTACAAGGTATATACAATTGTATACAGTTTTAATATATATGCATATACCAATATATAGGCCTATATTTACACATATAGCAAAACAAATATATTACTTTGCAATAAATATACATACATATGTATTTGAATTATATACACACTTGAAAATAAATAAATAATAACTATATATATATATATATACACACACACACATATATATATATATATATTTATATATATATACACACACACACACATATATATATATATATATATATATATATATATATATATATATATATATATATATATATATATATATATATATATATATATATATATATATATATATATACATATATATATATATATATATATATATATATATATACATATATATATATATATATATATATATATATATATATATATATATATATATATATATATATATATATATATATATATAAACACATACATACACATTTATCAATGCACACAATTATTTAAATATTTTTGCGTTTTCGTTAAACTTGGAGAATTTATGTTTTAGGTACAGAAAAATTTGCAAACCATATGCCAAACAAGTAACAGTAACCTCAGCTAAAGTTACCTGTGTGGTTATTGCCCTTGTGTCTCTCTTCTTGGCCACGCCTACCGCTGTCATCAACGGTGTACAAACCGTCAAAACGCCTACTCCGGGAATCTTTGGAAAGCAGTGCTGGACAGATGACGCTTTTGCCCGCACCATCTTGCCTAGCCTGAACGCCTACTTGTTCATTGCATTGTTTGTTCTAATCTGTACGCCGCTAGTTGTTTTGTACATAATGATCGGGTGTAAAGCACACAGGAGAAAGTTTTTTAGAGGCTCTACTATGAAGACTGCGACTAAAGCCCATGAGAAAGGATCCGATTCCACGAAGGAGAGTTCGGAGTGTAGAGTTTGTACAGATTCAGACAGCAAATGTTCTGGTGCCACTGCTGACAGTAATGATATCTCAAGACAAAATACTGACATTCAATTAGAAATAAACCACGATAAAAACACATCTTCGAAATTGACGGACGGTGTTCATAATTTATCAATTGATGAAAACGAGTCACGTCAAAACAAGGAAGAATTACATTGTTTATTATCAGAATCTGATGTAGCGAGTGAACTTAAAGATGTTGATGAAGATATAATCAAGACTCTATCATCATCTGGTAGTCTAAATATAGATAACAGTATCAGGGAAATTCCCGAGAGCCTATCTATTAGATCAGACAAAACAGACCTAATAACATTAACAGAATCAGGAGTAGATCTAGAAACCTCTGCGACAAAGAATAAAAATAATTGTACCGAATCCAAAAACAGAGAAGATTTTTTAAAAAAAGACACGCAATCAAAAAAACGAAACAATAGCAATTTATTCAGTACAATTCAAAGTAAATTCCGAAGAGACCGGATAACTCGAATGTCCACGAACACCATCAAAGGTTCAAACCGCACTACCGTCATGCTAGCCATCATAACCATAGCGTTTATCACGAGTTTCCTCCCCTTCCTGTCCGTCATGTACTGTAAGTTAGCGGCGCCCAAGTTATTTTTTAACATGAGTCCACGGCTGAAGTCTGTGTATGAGTTCATGTTGAGGTCATACCTTCTCAACACAGCAGTAAACCCGGTCGTCTACAGCCTCTGTGACGTCAATTTCCGGAGGGAATGTTTCAAACTGCTCAGGTTCTGGTAGCTCATAGCGTATATCAAGTATGACCACGTTATGCTTTTCGATAGGTTGACGTTAATACATTTAGGGTTCATCCATCAATAACTGGACTTTTTAAAAAAAATATGTACTGAGGTCTGTCAATGTTTAAATATTAACACAATCTTATCACACATACATGTTCTTTTGAAAAAAAAAAAGCGAAACAACGGTTAATTGTAAGTTTCTGAAATTACTTTTACAACATGCAAAGTTTTATTCTCATAGTTTCTAGCCTTCATCTCTTTCAAATGTGTCGTATATATATCTAAATACGACTAAAAATCAAGTTCGTTTACATATTTGTATTTTTTTTTTTGTATTTTATTTTGTTTTGTTTGGTTGTCTGCTTGGTTACAGGAGACAATCTGCAGTATGTGTAGAGCTGTAAAATACGTATTTAAGTAGAGAACAATGTTCTTTTTGACCAAACTGTTAATCACAAATTAATTTAAAGACGTTAATTAATTTATTGTTATATTCATAGTTAGATTCATCACTTTAATTATAAATGTTCAGAATAATGATTTTACTTATAGTGACGTCACATGATTTATTTACTTTTTATAATAATAATGGCGGCCTCCGTTAAAGATTTTAATAGTTATTCAAAAGTTAGGTTAATGCATTATAAAGCTAATTTTCTATTGGCTTTATCTTTAACGCTAGGTCCGTTTGCTAGTTTTGTTAGGTTCCAACAGTATTATCAATTTACAAAAATTCTTTTAAGTTGAGTATACAATAAATTTTCTCTAGATCTTCAGATAAGCTGTCGGACGGTAAGAGAGTCAATCTTAGATCTAAAATCTAGAATCTAGATCAAAACAAAATTAATTATTTAAAAATAAAATCAATTATAAAAACCTAATAAATTGTTGAGTTTCTTTATTAAATTATGTAAGTCCTTAATTATTTGATATAAATCTTTGTTTTATAGCTTCAATGATCATCTAATTCGAGAATAAATGGGATTTATCTATCTAGGTTTCAGATCTAGAACTACAAAAACTTAGACGACTTAATAAGCCAGATGTATACTCTACATCTAGATCTAGCACTATCTAGATCTAGAATCTATGCAAATAAAGAGTTTCTATACTAAACTATTTCAGGACTTAATTATAATATATATATATATATATATATATATATATATATATATATATATATATATATATATATATATATATATATATATTGTTACGCTTATGGCGTGCAGTGAGAGGGTTTGAGTCACTTGACTCAGCCAACTACCATTTAGCTCATCTCCAATACCAGGGAGAGAGTTCTAAACCTTGAGAACCACTAAGGTTGTCTTACGTTCAGACAAATCAACGACGTTTAGAAATAAGATGAACTAAATACTTCTTGTTCGAATTTTTATTATTGTATCCACATATCTATCTTCCTAGAACCTATCTCTCAACTTGAGTCATGCCTACCAGCACACGTCCTTTCACACCGACGATCGAGATTCGACTAACTCACACTCAAACTCCTAGAAACCAGTCTCTACCCAAATTTGTCACTTTCGCACTATATTCGTCATCATTCCATGCGTTCAACAGTAGTATATTAGGTCCCTTTTGGAGCGAATTTGGGATGCGCAAAGGTTATATAGCAAAATACTCCCCCAGCCTGGGACAATGACATATAGTAAAATACTCGGATCGGGATGCGCAAAGACATATAGTAAAATACTCCCACCACCTGGTGGTGGCGCAGGGTAGGGGGTGGGGGTGGTGTCGCAGCATGGGGTTTGTTTATTTGATTTCTTTGTATGTGTGTTTAATAGTAAACGGAGAGGGGTGGTTGAGGGGAGGGGTGAGTAATGATGGGTTTGAGGGTAGGGGTGTGCTAGTTGTACTTTGTGAATAACATCCATTAAAGATAACGATCAGCCACACCTGTTACGTATCGACCCGCCCGCGAAGTTTTCAGGGCTGCCCGTTTTAATGGGAATGTATTGATGAGCAGGTGGGTGGGGTGGGTGAGCAGGATGGACAATGAGATATAGTAAAATACTCACCCACCCTAGGGTGGGTGAGCAGGATGGGGAGTAGGTCAGTAGGTCACCACCGGTGACCTTGTGACGTAATTAGTGACCTTGTGACGTAATCATTGACCTAGTTACGTAATCAGTGACCTAGTTACGTAATTTTAATGCGTTTTTTAATTAGTTTGAATTTAATTTTTAATTTTTAATTAATTTTTATTAACTAGTTACGTAATTTGATTTTAATTATTTTTATTTTGTTTATTTTTAATTTTATTTTATAATTAGTTTGAATTCAATTTAATTACTTTGTTTATATTGTGTAATTTTTTATTGACTAGTTACGTAATTGGATTTTAATTTTTTAAATTTTTAAATTTAAATTTTAAATTTTAATTGATTTTTTACCTAGTTACGTAATTTTAATGTGTTTTTTAATTAGTTTTAATGAGTTTTTAAAATTTTAATTAATTTTTATTAACGAGTTACGTAATTTAATTATTTGTTTACTTTTTTAATTGTTTAATTTGTTGTTTACTTGTTGTTTAATTTAATTACTTTGTTTATATTGTGTAATTTTTATTAACGAGTTACGTAATTTGATTATTTGTTTACTTTTTAATTATTTTTATTGACGAGTTACGTAATTTGATTATTTGTTTACTTTTTAATTAATTTTAGTTTGATTTAATTAGTTTGAATTTTATTTAAATTTTTAATTTTTTTTAAAATTTTATTTTATAATTAGTAATTATTTTAATTTGATTATTAGTTTGAATTTAATTTTATTTCTTTGATTTTACATTTTTTAAATTTGTTTATTTCTTTTCTTTGTTGTTTAATTTGTTGGTTTGTTTATTTACTTGTATGTATGTTTAATAGTAAACGGATAGGGGTGTTGGTGGATGAGAGGGGGAGTAATGATGGGGTTTGAGGGTAGGGGTGCGTTAGCGTGTACTTTGTGAATAACATACATTAACAACACCTGTTACTCGCTAATGGCACCCGGCACGTATCGATTCACCAGCAAAGTTTTTCTTTTTGTGAGGGACCGTACACTGTCCGAGTTAATTTTGGTCACACCCACTGGACCATCATCAACTTGATAGCCCACCTAATTAAATTTTTTGACACCCGTCATTGATTTATGTGGGTTCGCGAAGCGATCCCACCGGGAGGTATGGTAATTAACGCGAAGCCAGCGTTAAGTGTGGGAACATCTGTTACCACGTTAATCGATTTTACCGAACGCTTTGTTAGCTCCGGGAAGTACATAGGTCATTATGCAACAGCTGTTGTGCGACAGCTGGTGGTGTAATTAGGTTGAGCAACCGGACATTACCTTGTTGGTTTTCTAGTACGCGTATGCTACACACACACACACACACACACACACACACACACACACACACACACACACACACACACACACTAAATTAGAACAAAAGTCTTCTTATATTTTATTTGTTTATTAACGTTTTTCCAATTCATCAAAGGCTTTTAAAATTTCATCCTGTAAACTCAACAGGCGCTCAAAGCAGACGCGACTCATACTAACACCAGAATTTGTAGGAAAATTAAGATCGGTCCCATCTATAAGCTCTCTAAGATTTAAAGTGTTTTTGTTCATGAATTGACTAACAATCGCCCCGTGTGTTCACCCGCAAAGACGGTTTGACAAGACATCACGACTCTGTTCACCGCCGACAAGGACATCTCTGTACAACATGCGGGAATCTATTTACACGACTTGACAATTTAACAAGACATTGTAAAACAACACACACCAACCAAACATCACCGACCGACACCCCATCAGCAACCGATAGACAAACTCCACAACCACTATACGTGACCGACAGACAAACCATGCAACCCCTAGCAGCGATCCAAACAACTCGTACCATGACCAACACTATTCCATTAAAGCGACATACGATGTATGACGACATAGCAAACAACAAACGCGTAAAGACTAACAATGACAGTAACCTTAATTCACACACCGCTATTTTTCCTGTAGACGACCTACCCATGATACGTTATACATGTGACATATGTGAGCATGCATTCACCTGCAAACATGGTTTGAAACGACATCACGATACGGCACACAGACGACGAAGACATACATGTAGAGAATGTTTGCAAGAATTTACAAGAAAATATAATTTAACGAACCACTATAAAATACCACACAACATCAAAACATTACCAGACGACACATCAGCGACCGACACGAATATCCCATAGGATGACTTCTCACACACATCTCCTTACACCCAACACAGAAACTCACTTTCTTACTTTTATATTAAAAGACAAGTAGACACAATGTGACATCTCCCCTAGACTGTAGACCGATGGGGTTGTTTTTATTCAATAAAAATTTATTATATATGGCCTTTTGTGATTTTTTAATGTGTTATTGTTTTGTTACTTGTCCCTGAAAGTTATGTAACTCGGTATCCTGTATAAGAGGTATGACTGGAATCAAAATCACGGGAGAGAACGTGACGTACATCGCGATATTTGAAAACAGGGCGATGTTTAACCTCAACCAAAAAAGACAATGAACCTAGAAGGAAGACGAATATATATCTTAGTCTTGCAGCAGATTACCTTCCCATGTTCACTTTAGTATTACAGTTTTCATCAAACTTCTTTTTGACTTGAACTTCGTTAATTTTTAAGAAAGTTTACTTATACATAATACATTACGTCTAATGACAATTTTTTTTTTTTTATTTTTACCACTCAATGTATTTTCTTTTTCTATATCTTACATTGTCATCTTAATTTTTGATCACCTTAGGTGGTGGTAAGGTGGTAAGGTGGTGGTAAGGTGGTGGTAAGGTGGTGGTAAATTTGCTTAAGATTATAAACTTCAAGTTTTAAAAAACAACAACGTTATAGTACGTCGTGTCAAATGACACACCGTTTAAAATGTCTACATTTAAAGTTCACCAAAATAATGACGTAAAATCTAAATATGATATGACGTTAGCATACATATCATTCAACCTAATCACTCTAAAGTACAAATCAATAATTTTTATTGATTAAGGGGCTGGGTGAGTTATTTTTATTCGGGTGCCCAGGGAAGGTTTGGAGTTGG